ATCTGAATCAATTCGAGACAATTTACTCTATTCTATTCGAAAATGGAATGGTAAATGAAGAATCTGATTCGTTTCAACAATGAAAATCAGAGTGTCTAGAAGCTAATAATTGAATCTTTTTAAGAAACTTAGCTACTCATGACGCGTTTCGGCATCTTGCTTAAGGTATCATTGTCAGGTAAATTTCGAAATCTAAAAAGACCTCCAACAAACTTCCAATAAATTTTGAGGATGTGTAAAGAGCAACCCTGACCAGTTTTATTCTTGCTCCAGGGATTCATCAGAAGGCTCAAATCTCATTCAAGGCAGTATTTTCGGCGGATGTGGTTATGATTTTGCTTGTATAGAAGGTACCACGACGCGTTTCGGATGATACTCAATCAGTCTCATCGGATGGCTTAGTATCTCTAGTATTATTCGAAAATTTATGAAAAAATCTGAATTAATTGAAGACAATTAACTCTTTTGGGGATAGTGATACAAGGATTGTATATCACCTGTTTTTTCAATAAAGAAAAAATTGTTTTCTTTACGCTAAAATCTTAGGCCTGAAAGGCCATAAGGTCGTATGTTGCATCATCTGTCATCCCATGCATATTTTTACTTTCTTTCTGTCGTATAGATCCTTCTCAGAGATTCTCTTTTCTTTCTGCACCTGTACAATTACATCATGATTTCTCTATCTTCTCCTGATATATAATTTTTCGACAATATTCTCAGTCCCTCATTGCTCGTGTATATATATATATATCTATATCTGCTTTTGTTCTCACTAATGGAATTACATTGCTCTTCTTCCTACGATAGAATTTTCGTTTTTCTTTCACTACAAGGTACTAGTGTGCCATGATTATTAATTAAACGACGTGAAATATAGTTATCATATGAATTCTCAACTTTTTTTATTATAGATTATTGAACAAACTTTGTTACTTTTTCATTGAAAGACATATTAAACGACTTGTATTTTTGACTTCTTTATTTTTGGTTTATAACTAAAACTAAACAAATGGAATTCTATGGAAATAACGAAGTCGATGATGAATCATGTGATTTGTACACTAGTGAAGATAACAACGAGAGTGACTCTGATTTTGATTATAATGAATTAGCAGATAGTTTAGACGAACTTCGAGTTTCGAGAGAAGATTGGGATGCAAATGAAGAGGAGATGAATTCAACGAATGAAAATCATGTTGCCGATGGAGGCCTTACCTCAATTTCTCTCAAGGAAGTGACTCCAATTTCAGTTTTCCGAAGCTTTTTCATCGAAGAAATTTTAAAACTAATTCCTGATCAAACGAACTTCTATAGAAAAGAAAAGAAAGGAAGAAAAGTCAGGAAAAAGCCAATAACTGGAAGGATGTCTGGAATAACTATTCGAATGGAAATCAATGACTTGCCAAAGATAAAACTTTATTGAAGTAAAGATATTGTTTTTCGTAACAGCTGTATCTCTTCGATTATGTCAAGAGATTGTTTTCTTCAAATTTTTTATGATTTACATTTGGCTGATAACTCATTGAAACTAAAACGAGAATCTAAAAATTACAGTAGAATTTACAAAGTTTACTTAAAAATTTTCAAAACAATTATAACTTTGATCGCCATGATTCAATGGATGAAAATATGGTAAAATTCAAGGGAAGATCAACTCTCAAATAGTACATGCCTCTAAAATCAATAAAAAGAGGCTACAAACTTTGTTACTTATGTGACTCAGTTATTGATTACTTATTCAACTGTGAAACCTACTTAGGAAAAGAAGAAATCAGTGAAAAAGAAATACCTTTGGGAGAACGTGTTGTTTTCAATCTTATCTCTGGCCATAATTTCGCTTCGATAATTTTTTTACTTCAATCGAGTTATTAACGGGAACGATTAGGTCATATTGTGCGGGTATTCCATCGAATTTTGCCGCAAAAGAAAAAAGTAGAACGAGGATATCACAAGTCAATAATTGTGTCAAACACTATTGTCTTCAGATGGATGAATACCAAACACGTTTTTTTGGCTTCAAATAACTGTAAAGACAGTAAAATTGTTCCGGTTTCTCAACAACTGAAGAATGGTCAACTTATTACAATTTATTGTCCAAAAGCAATAAACGATTAGAATCGGTTCATACATGCAGCTGATCGATTCAACTAAAGAATATCTCACTAAACTCTCGATCGCAAATCGCGAAGAAACTGGCTTCGTCTTTTGTATTTATCAGTAAAAGCAACATGAAGAAGATGTGCCTACTGTAACACAAAAGAACAACAAGTTAGATCTAGCATTGACTGTTATACTTGCGAATTAGCATTCTATGTAAAAGATTTAAAAAATTGATCTTTTGATCATCATAAGGATTTTATGTAATCATTTACGGTCAAAGAAAATAAATTGATTAAAAAACTACTTTTTGATTGAAAAAAAAACCAATTCTGGCCTCAAAGGGTTAAGTACCTGTTCTAGTAAGTAACTCGAAAATCACGGTGTATAGATGCTACCACACGACTAGTACAAGATTTCGTTTTTGCTGGAAAAAAATAATGAAGTGACAAATGTGTGTACGAGTGATTGTTCGAAAGGAGGAAAATCAGTGTAAAAGAGGACGAGCTCACTCAGAAAATTTAAGAGTTTGTTTAAGTGTTTGAGGAAATATGAGAAAAGAAAAAGATGTTAAAGGTAAAATCTAAAAGAAGAAAATCAATTTTTGGATGTAACAGGTACATTTGTTCGATAAATGGTTCGAACTGACTTGCTGCTAGCAGTAGTATCCTGGATTGGGTTCGTTATCATTGTCGCATCATTTTATTGTATCGTTCTGTTGGATGAAGAGATTCTGATAAATACCATATGAAGGAGAATGAGAAACATGATCGTCCAGTTGGTAAATGATAATCTCCCACTAGAATTACGATGGACAATGTTCGAGAATTATGATCAATATGAATCAAGGCAAGGCGATTATTATATGTGTCAGATTCGATGTCGATGGTGAAGCATTTGATTCTTTTTGTGTCAGATTTATGAGATAATGTAACGGATGGGTGTTGGTGAATGGATTGAGAAAGTACGTATAATACTGATGGAGAGAGGTAAATGATAGTTTTACGCTCAATTATTCATGTCGTAATTAATTTTTCATATATCACTGATTGATGTAGTAATAGTTTGACTATCACAAATATCTAAAATACTAAGAAAAATTAACGCAAATTGTGTCCAGAAGGAGTTTTTTAACCTGAGATTTACTAATAGTATGGATTTGATCTTGGATATCGTTACTAATATAATTTACTTGTCGATATGAGAAGGTATAGGTAGCTAGTGGTAGTGGTAAATAATCTAGACAATGAACTACTCTGTAATTGCCTATGGCAGTAGTTGCCATCACATAGACCAATTCGGGATCTATAGCAGAAGTTCCTCGCAAATAAACAGCATTTTCTGCTAGTGCGTCGACTCAAGCAGAGAAATTAAACGCCAATACATTGGATTGCAATTCAGAAATGAACGAACTGCTACTGGACATCGAGTTGAATGTTAGAAGAACATAACATAGTTGAACTGAATGAGCATGTATTGTTCATTACTCTTTCTCGTTGCAGATCGAATATTGCTTCTCGAAATAGAGGGCTACGAGTCAATTTTTCAGGTTTAATTCGATTGCCATGTTCTCGATGATCTGTACCATAAGAAGAGAAGGCAAAACATACACATGGCCATCCTAATGGAATTTCTACTTGTAAGTCATAGCATCAGACAATGTTCCTGCTGTTGAATCGACATAATCATAATGACCAGATGAATGTGTCATGGCGTCGAACACATTCGATATAGTACATGTCTAAATTTCAACGACAGAGTTCACCGATGAAAATTAAATATTCGATAACAACGTACTACTAGACAATTGAGATAGGTAGTATATCTGTTGACAAATTGGTGCATGGAACTTGAGACACAATTAACGACTGGCCATGCTTGACTTTTCTTACAACTCTGTAATGAACGACAACATGTATAGAACAGATTGCCACATGAAAACAATGTATATCTTACCTGAGAGTCATCTGTTCCACAGAACAGACCTTCAATCTTGGATCAAGACAGCGTCTGGAAACGAGCAGGCTTTCATGTAGAATAGGGCCACTGAAAAATGTTTAAATGTATGAAACTATGAAATAATATACTTATACGAACACTGATCATCTATTTATAGATAGAATTCTAGTACCGAAGCTATCTGTTTTAAATTGAGTATCGATTTTTTCAAGGTAACATCTCTCTTCAATAGAAAATTTTGTTGAAACGATTCATGCAATGTGAGAAGAGTACAACAGATTTCACGAAGTCAATCAGCATTGAAAATGATGATTGACTGGCCTACTTGTAGCCATGCAGCTAGTTCATGAAGCGCAAGACGAGTAACTAGAAGACGACGACAGCGACAACCAAGTGAAAAGATTTGTGACAAGAATATGTTGAAATATGAACCTAGTACATTAACCAAGAATAAACAATTATTTAGACCCATCGATTTTGATGGAAATATAGGCAAATAATTATATCGTCTATTATTATGCTGTTGTTATGTTCTTAGTTGATATCTATGCTGTTCATTGCTAGTTAACGAGGAAGCAGCCCGTTCTGCTTGATTTAAATCAATAGTATCACAATCCGTATCCAATAGGTAGGTTTTGAACTTTTGCTTTCATTTGGTATCGTGTTTAGATTATGTTATTTATCTCCAAGATTCTATCTGAAATAGACAAGAATATGAACAAAAATATGTTTTTTTCTTATAGTAGAGTTTTTTTAAATATGGATAACAGAATGAAGTTCGTTCGTCATCCTAAAATAGTTTTATAGTCCAATGGTGATCGCTTTTCCATCGACAATGTGCAATATTTGTTCGATATTACGTTGAGTGCGATGAATTTTCATTCATTGTTACATTCGTTGTTGGTAACCATTATCTGTCAATATAGAGTTGATCTTCGTGAATACTAGATCCTGAAAAGTAGAATACGTTGATGAAGATTCGTAAGACAACCACTTTTTGAATATAGCAATCTCATATCTGAGTTTTTTTTCGTCGTCGGTAGTTTTTCAAATAATTTTCACTGAATGTAACTTACATGACATCGGATTTTACTCAACAATCGATTTTAATCCTTCGCGTAAATTCAAATCTTAATCGATGAGAATCCAGTTACCGCATTTTCAATTGATTTCAATCGATTATTTTAGCAATAATAGAATTTTTATCTACAATCCATTTTAATTCTTTTCTTTATTAGTCAAGATGCATCTAGTCGTGTCAATGCTGAGTTTGCAACAGGAATATCTAAGGAAATGTTCTTGTGCATTTTGCTTCTGCTTGGTATACCTATTATCGAAAGCATTGTCTAACTATATTTATAATAATGTACCCATAACATTATTCCACACGAGAGATCTTCAAAATCCGCAAAATGTTTACATTAGTACACCTTTAAGTAAACGCTTCATACAGATATCAATAAAGGCCACCCTATTTTCGAGTGGAAAATAGCGTACTTTGGAAATTTAAGATTGTCAAGATTTCTAAATAGCTCAGAAGAATTTCAGACGATTTCATGAGACTTCGTAAGATTTCAACACTTTAAAAGTTCTAAAGACCAGTAAAGAGTTCAGAAAACTTCGCTAGACTCCAAGACATAAACTCTTCTAAAACCTCATCAAACTTCTAAAAATCGTTAAAGCTCTATGAACACGTATATGGCAACTCCAGGTCAGTTCGCAGAGTTAGAGAAGAATACCGAGAGGTAAGCCTCATAACTTTCAAGGACTGACTCGATACGGGGAAATATCCATAAAACTTCTAGGGATTTTCTAATGGTAACCATAAGTTCTCAATGGCTATTGTATCGGAATATCTCTAAGGCAAGTATGTGACAGCTTCAGCTCGAACGTTCGCTTGAACTGTAGCTGTTTACTAGCTCGGCCACCATTATCAGTAAATGATTCCTGGTCCTTGCCATATGAGGTATCTAATACGTTTTCTATGACTACTTTAAGGTGATTCTTAGCACTTTCATATATAGGCACGACAAAATATGTATAAAGTTTCATCGTATTACTATTCAATGTTATTGGTATTGACCAGTGTCGGGATTGATGGAAGCGATATTATCAAGTTCCTAAAATTTTCGTTGCAACAGTGGCTCTTCCTGATAAGAATTGATTTCCATAAAGTTCAACTAAAGAGCTTCATGACCAAAGAATCTCACCCTGCAATCGCATACTGAAACCAGTGTGTACTCAGTTTGTTGATGAAATAAAGTTTACCCTACCATCCATGCTGAAACTGAATGTGGAATCATTATTTCCTGAGAAACCTTCCTTTATTGAAAGAAGCATGTACACAACATACAGCATCTGGTTATAGATTAAGATTCCTCAACTCCAAAGCCCTTTAGTCAAACTTGATGAAAATTCGTTCTTTTCTGAAAAAGTCTTTGTTTTTAGTAAAAATTTAAGGATTGTGATAATATCATTCCCATAAATATCAATACCGACTGATACGAAATATCATACAATAGCTATACCACAATATCAAATTGATATTCTGATATCACTATTTACAAAAGTGCTAGAACCACTGCTAGGTACCTCTAGAAAGGTCATAACACAATTCATATAAGAAGAACTAGAGATTCTCTTCAGCCTATGCCAAGTGTGCTAGTAAATAGCTCAAGCTGGCATGAGCTAAACTAATGAGTGCTTCCAAAGGTACGACCTGTCGAGCTAAGGCTACTACGCAGCTGCCTAGGCTTGCATCCAGAAAAAGCATTAAATTTTTGGTCCTAATATATATTTTTGATTCGTCTACAATATTTTCATGCAGGCCTATTATGAACAAATGTTTGTCCTCCAAAAACTTTCGATTCATCCATTAGTTAGAAAGATAAGTTGATAGATAGGCTATTACAAATTCTCATCTTTCTAGATGTCTGTGCGAAACGCATGGTACACAACCACTCTCGGACTTCGTCCAGTGTAGATTTACTCACAAACTGTTTGTGCGAGAAACTTCAAAAGGGGTTTTCCGTTTCCCAATGGGAGAACTTTTCACGTTTCGTAACACAGCTACTTTTTAGAGTATACAGTACAATCGAATAGGCACGATAGAAGAGTCTCCATTAATAGAAATAGAAACGGCAACTTTTCTATGATGTATAAGTGTAGACTATAGAATGTTTCAATTATCCGACTCAATCATAAAAACATCTTCTAATTGCTTTCGCTTCTTCTGAAAAGTATGCATTTGAGCATAGTCTCAGATTGATGCATAGACTTCACGGTAAATTGTCACCCAATTATATCGTACCTTGAGTTACGCAGCTGCTCCCACTCATATTCCTGTTCCACGAACAAATCATCGAAGCTTGAACAAGATCGTTTGTTGCTCGCGGTCGAACGGACGACACCTGAAGATTTACTTGAATGACATGATGAGCAAACATTCGTTGTCGACAGGATGCTTGCTGGACAAAAAAAACAGTGAGCTTGGTTAAATAAGAGTGGGACACTTACGTGCCAGATACAGAAAATTAAATTTTGCAATGATCGTTTCATCTTGCATGGCAACGATTGAAACAGTTCGATTTTGGCCATTAGGCACCATCAAACATGCTGGTGTCTGGAAGACAATCGTCTTCATATCGACGAACTCGTATCGAATATTCTTTTTCTGATTCAATTCCACATAATCAAAATATATATGAAGTGCTTCAGCAAAAATAGAAATATTTTGAAAAAAAAATAAAGGATTAGAGAATACCTTTTTTCCGGTCGAGTTTAGTAAGAACCATCAAAACATTGTCGCCACCTGCCCAATTACCTATTTCTGGTGCACATGTGGCAAATTTTACATCTTGCTCATTTGTCGCGACGGCTGAAGCAGCAGTAATTCCGTCTAAAAAGAAAAAGAACATATGTCAACAATATAGAGATGTTTTTCTTACACTTACGCCTTTTTTGATTCATTTCATCCATCATCACTTGTGATAATACCGACGTGCCAGGGAATATATTAAATACATTATTATCAACGCGTTTGGCTAAAGAGAAAACAAGTTGCGATTTCCACAATTGATATAATTTAATTAATTGTTTGCTGCGCTGTTTATGCGCAATACAAGGAATATGTCGTTGATCTTTCAAATGAGAAATAAAGTAGTTTTATTGTTATCATTATTTTCTTACTAGAGTCGATAATGCGGAAAGGGCTATGTGATCTGAGCTCCTTTTGTAGTAACTTCTTGTGAGTAAGGAGAAAACTGAAGAAAAAATAAAAATTGAAATAATGAAGCATTTGTATCGATTTTTTGGTACCTTTTTCGACCACTCATGAAATCGTCATTTGTGATTGGAAAATAGATGGCATTGTTAGAGCGATCTTTCACAACGTTAGAATCATCAGTGTCAAGTGGATATGGATGCACACACGTCACAGATACACTCTCATTGGGCACAGTGACAGAAGCCACACGTACGTATGGATGATCAATGGCGTCATACCATGCTCCTGATATCTAATTAAGAAAAACAATTGAGTATTTTTCTGTGGTTTAGTGATAGCCATATGATTCGAAATACGAAGAAAAAAAGTCAAAGTTAAGCGAACCGCGAAACTATCGAGAAGTAGTTTGCTTTAGGTTCAAAAAAATATGATGTATGAAACTCACGGCGGAACATGGTTAAAGTGCTAACCGGAGATCCGAACGAGTTGTACCCTAGTCGATAGAGCTCGATGAGCTGATTACGATGGCAGTAAACGTTTTTTCTCATAGTATATTGTATAGAATTTTCAGTTCCAATTAACAGTATGAAATGTCTCATACAAGGGTATAACGGAGAAGTTTAGGTTTGGAAAAATACTTATAGAACCGAATTCTTTTTCAACGGAAATGATAACCATTGAAAAATGTTTGAAATATAGAACGTGAGAATAATGAATACAACGAATAAATGAAGAAACCTTAGTTCTATATCAAAGATTGGTCTGTCTTCAAAGTGAGGGAGGAATATATCACATATGAAAACAGTCGATATTCTGGCTCGATGTCGCCACAAACCAATCATACATATGAAATCATCGGAGCACAGTTAATTCTGAACAAGTGATTGGAGCCTGACTGTAGCGTTACGAATTATCAAGTCGATTTTTATGATCGTCAAGGACGCAAACAACAAACAATAGATCGAATTTAATGTTGTTCTTCTGTTCTAAAAGCTGATTGAGACTGCACATAATTCATAATTAGCTTTCCTCAATGAGACATGATCCTTTTCTATCTAGGAAATTTCTATGTGAGTAATGAAGAACACTGTCTCTGTTCAGATAGCTGAACCTTATCGACAAAGTGGTATGTCTCTTGGCGTCCTATTGATCCACAACAGGCTTTTTCAAGCGCCTTAATTTGAATTGAAGTAAAAAAAAATGTTTTCGATAATCGAATCTAGCTCGAGTTTTCTAGACAAAGACTATTAACAATAGTATCAGCCTCCGAGGTATGTCTCTCTTCTTAAAGACTTTCAGAACTTTGGATAGATTTGCTGACAGTGACAATAGGATTGCTAATCGCCAAACGCTTGGGAAAGTTGAAAAAGCTAGTACTCTTTCATCTGTATGTGTCTATTAAATAACTTTATCTACCCACAGGATGAAAACTTTTTTCAAACCAAACCCATATTTTTGTCTCGACGAGATCGAGGTCATCCACATTATGGACATAATGATGTCTTTGATTGAGATTCGAAGTCTTCTGCATTTTTCTTCGTATAAAAAGAGAAGTTTTGAGCTATTTAGAGTATTCGATTCTTGCACACTATTCAGCACATTAGGTGCAAATGCCAATTACTAATTGTTTCTATGCGTTATACTTGGATATTCCGCATATAGGAGTGAGAGTGAGATTTGGATCACCACTCGCCGCGATCGAGATAAAGATATATGTGTCATATGCCAGTAAATAACCTGATACCCATGAATACCTCATTATCCAATATTCGTTGATACCCTACGTACTACCCTAAATATCCCATATACCGTATCTACTGCGATGAGAATCTCAATAAAATGCTTCTTTTAGTTTCGGAGTTTGAATCTCATTGAAAGACATCAACTAGTGAGATCTCTATAGATAAGTAGAAAAATCGACAATTATGTTGTTGCCTCGATCGAAAGAAAATTAACGAAAATTTCATATTATAAAACAGATCTAGTGTGGATGGGATGATTGATTATAAACGTTCTTGCGCAAAACCTAAAATGATCTGACTGAGTTTTATGCGTTATATATTGGCGAAATTGCTTCTGTCTGTTCATTGCTTATTTCTGACTATTTAACTTTGACTTTTCTTTTCCCTATTAATCGAAATCGAAATCAGTATTGATTTTTTTTACCTCTATAGTTGGATATTCGAGCTTGAACTGATTTTTATCTTCAGCACGAATATAACGTTTAGCTACATTTTCAGATTTATTTAGTTCACTTCCATATCGCTCACGATAGAATGCCTTCGGTTCTGCAATAATTCGAAGTTGTTGAATTGGTTGAATCATTTTGAAAACTTGACCTGGTTAGTAATTGAAGAGTCCGTAGAGAAATTTTCGAATTGTGCCAATGAACGCAACGAAACCGATATTGATGTTGAGCTATTGGTCTTTTTAGATGAATAAGTGTCCAACTGAGTTCCAAGATCTAGATGGAGTGAAAAAGGATAATTTGACGAAGATCTCAACAAAAAAAAGCTGGTCTCGAACTTAAGTCAATACTATCACGAAACATGACATCGTTTACGACATCCTTCAGAGATAAGCAAAACCAAAAGGTAAGCGATCATATTGTGTATTATCAAATACGAACAATACACTAAAATCTCTCAAAGTTGATACATCTCTATAGTGGACATCTTCTTATAGTGGACACTGATTATGAATTCAAAGAGTATGTCGCGATAACTATCATTACTCATCCAACATAATGACTCTTCTTTATTGATCGGACGGTAGAATGAAAAAAAAATGTCTTACGAAGGAACATATTTGAGTGA